AATCAGGTTGTTAATGCCCTGATTAAAGAAATAACTTGGCTTTGAAGCAAAAAACATGTCAATGTCCTCTTTAACACCTTTTACATGTACATACATTTTCACATCAAGATGGTGTTGTTGTGAACAAAAAAGATGGTGCCATATCTGGAGAATATGGTAGGTGAGGGAGAACTTCCCAACCCAACTCCATAACCGTGTGTTGCGCCACATGTGGACATGCATTGTCATGGAGAAGAACACCACCTTTCCAATTGACGAGTGAAGGGCATTTCTGATGAAGGGCTTGAATTAAATGTTCTAGTTGCTGACTATAGATCTCTGCATTGACAGTTTGCTGTGGATTGAGAAGTTCGAAATGAATTACTCCTTTGATGTCCTGCAGATGGAGTCCAGGTTTTGGGGTCATAAGTGGTTTTGTCTAGAACTAAGCCATTGTTTTTGGCATTTAATATTCGCATAGAGAATCCATTTTTCATCACCAGGGACAATTCTGTTCAAAAATGGTTCATGCGCATTATGCACCAGACGAGATGAAGCAACATTCACACGTTGGAAACAATGATCATCGGAGAGTCCAAACATCTTCTTTATGGAATTTTCCCATATTCCTTAGATGTATTGTTTCACAAGAGGCATGCAGTTTCATGAGTGTGTTGCGTTGGGTTAGACTCAATTCCATGTCAGCCCCTGTCATCACAGTTTTTAAGGCTAAAGTCATCTGAACGATATTTGCTGAACCATCGTTGATGCTTACGAATGTTCAAAACATTTCCATAAACTTCTTTGATATTCTTTTTGACAACAGAGGCATTGTTTCTCCTCTTGTATTGAAACAGCATTACATGCCGAATGTGTGTTTCGTCGTGTGCCATCACTATAAGGAATTAGAGTAACTAAACTTTACACATTATATGGGCTACACTAACATGATGTTTAGGCGGTTCATTTAACTATTATACTTTCATTAACCACCCTTTTTAGGAGGGTGGTTAATGAAAGTATTCCAAAATGCAACATTAATTTCTTGATGACCTAATACTTAGTTACAGCAACAATACATAAGGTACTCTACAAACAATATTACAAAATTTAATACACATTTTCTGTGTTTGATTAAGTGAACAATCAACTTTCATATACAAAAACAAAATCTCAAAAGTAGATTTCTTTACACTCATTTTTTCCAAAGAATAATTAAAAAAAGTGCATCATTCTGTTTAGTGAATAAGATTTAAGTTTAGCCATTTTTATGAAAACACTAAAAATAATAACACATTTTGGGAGAATGAAAAATATTACAATCTCAAGCAAGACAGAATGATTAATAAATACTAGGTATGTTTACATGGTAATTATTTTTAACATGCTCACCTTTTTTGCATGCATGTGAGAATATATATATATATATATTATTTATATACAAAAAACAAACAAATTTTAATACAGTAGTTTTCACATTTGACAACCTACTTCATTTGAGCTAGAAACATCACTTGTGGTGATACTAAAATAGAAATAATAGTTAATCCTCAATGACATCCTGCTATTTTGTTACTTTTCACCAATATGTTGGCATATCATTTGTCTTAATTCTAGTAGCTATAAGATGTTCTTTTCATAAAGTTATAGTTTAACAAAAGAAAAAATGCTTATCAATCACAAACTCAATCTCACTGCAATTAAGGTTTTCATGCTTCCAAAAGAAACTTTTTTCCACTCAATTGCCCTTCGTCATGATATTTGTCTTATGATACTCTCCACCTATATCAATGCACCCTTTATCCTGGTACTGTATATAACACCTCATTCAGATAAATTTTTCGCTTTTTTGAGACTGACACCATCCCAGTCTCTAACACCTGCTCTTAGTGGGGAGGTAAGGTGGGAGAGTGTCAGCAGAGGTAAGTATTATTGGAAATACACTTGCAATTTAGGAAAATGTTACCTTTCAAAACATACTTACCTTCACTGACACTTATAACTAGAATCCCACATTGAGAAGATGGAGGAGCCAGTGAGGGCGCTATCCATACAGAAAGCATCTGCATAGATCATTGGTGTGTCAATAGAAAACTGGTATCCTAGTGGGGGAACCACACTTCATTCAGAACAGGTATGCTCTTCACACTGAACTTAATTCCTGTATCAGAGGTGGAACTGTACATGAGTGATCATCACTATAGGCCAGCCCCAACCGGATAGCTAAGGTTCCACTATTTGGGGTTGGAATTAAGGGGCCTTGGTCCTTATATCCCATGTAAGTGGCTAGGGCAATTGGATCACAACATTACATATAAATAGCCATACAGTGATGTGCTCCAAACTACAGGAATCACAAGAAGAACTACACGACAGATTGAAAAGGGTTCAACCTCCTCTCAATACAACATTGCCAATATGCATGCCATTACCATTGATAAATGTTTCTTTTGGACTAAGCAGAAACTGAGACAGATACATGTCAGCCTCAGAAATTAAACCCCAATGCCATGTGAAAGACAGCATAACCTCTATGCCAGAAGCTTGAGCTTCTGGATAGCCAGGTGTACCATATGAGATCATGACTGCCTCCAAAGCGAGCAGAAGAGTTGGACACACCGAAAAGAACTGCAGAAGCAGAAATCTGGGTGTAGCAGCCAACCTGGTGCTAACAACAGGATATGACAATGTTGGAACAAATCATATTTTTTACCCTGGGTAACATATGAAGTAGAGAGAAGGTTTAGAGTGGTAACCTGTCCTGTCCAGACAGAAAGTAGCTATTGCCAAAGACCAAAGATGATGCACTGGAGACCAAATTGCTAGTAGTTGGGTGATCTAATGAGAGGCCAACCCACCAATTAGAGTTTCAAAATGAGAGACAATCCAACAGAACCTTATGATGCAATATCTATTCTGTCGTGAGAATCTGTCTGGATTGAGACAACAGGCCTGCTGCCACAGGCATCACCTGTGGAACATGGGAAGCTAGAAGGGTGTTAAGATAGGACTAGTCCTGAGAAAGGAGGTCCAAAATTCGAAAATAAGGAGCCCTGAACCACATGCTACCTTGATGGGAAACATAAGATACCACCACAGAATAGTCAGGGTGAAGCCTGAAGATTTACCCTGTAAGAAATCCTGACCATGAGCCCTTGCCTGTTGAAGAGCAAGAAGGACAAAAACATTGTGTAGGGAATACTTGCTGTCCGTGCATAAACTTTTGAATTTCTGACTGTTGGTATATCGACCCCATCCCTGAAACAAGGCATTCTTTAAGTGAATGGAACTCTGGATTTGATGGCAGTAGAAGAACCAAAATAGTAGTAGTGCCCTGACTTAACAATATCAGTCAGAGGTGGTAGGAGATACTCAATTTGCCTCATTGCCAGTATAATAATGTGGGAATTCATGCTGTAATTAGCTTGCCAATCGAAAAAATAATTTTTTTTCTCCAACTATTATTATTATTATTACTACAAAAATCAACTAGATAACATTCAAAGTATCTCTGAATGATTGTAATACTGGGAAACCTGTTAGTGACATTTTATCGAGAAAAAAGTGATAAAATTATCTGAATGAGATGCTTATATACAGTACCAGGATAGAGGGTGCACTGACTTAGGTGGAGAGTATCACGAGAGAAATATTGCCAAGGGCAAATGCTTAGATGGGCAAAGAAGAAACCCTGGCAGTCAAGTAACAACTATAATATCAGTGGAAGTATGTTTTGAAAAATTCATATTGAACTAGAAATGTTTTGCTGACACATACTCAAACTACTCTGATAATATGTTGAAGGATATCAATTGTTTTTCTTTTACTTTTTTGTTTGTTTATTAACTTGATAAGAAACTCTTAGGAGTTTTTGACAGTGTATTCATTTAAATCCACTAGCAATGATGGTCTGTTCATTAAATATTTGGCCAAACGATAGGTTGGGCTATTGTTGCAAGCTGCTGTTCTAAAAGGTAAACCTTCTCTGTGCAGTCTGGAAAAAACATAGTGTATTTGGAAAATAATATTAGAAGGTACAAAGTTTAATTTCTCTCTTTCTGTTAAACTTTTAATTTTCATGATTTCAGCTTTGAGTTGCATCAAAATGTGTTTGGTTGGATAAGATTTCAGTTTGGAATATAAACCATTACATAACAGTTTACTGAAACCATCACTGAACTGTTTTATTGTCTATTATTTCAATTTCACCACCCTTGTCAGCTTTGAAACGTTAACCAAAGTGATCCAAGACAAAAGGAAGTCTACAGTTTTACTTGTTAGTGCAACCAACCACAAAATTAATTTCAATCAACAAAAATCACTGCAGAACCCAATTTCTTCCATCAATGCAATACAAAAGAACCATGGGAATATTTGAAAATAAACCCAATAATGACAAGGAATTTGGACTCAATCCTATTTGGAAGTCATTTTTTTCAAATTAATTTATGCACTTTGGTATCATTTAGTGAAGCTTGACCTTTCTTGGGCCATTTTGATCCTAAATATGCAAGACACTGAAAACAGTTTTATTCCATTCCTTGAGAATGACAAGCTAAGCCTGTTGAAACTTGTCAGGTTTCATGTTTTTTGTTAATTCTTTAATCATTTGTGCATTATTATGCTGATGAGTTTTTCTTGTATCTTTATGAATTAGCTGAAAGTAACTCTCCTTCTTTAGATTGACCATTATTATATTTTTACTTATTTACTTTAATGAACCCATCATACAAGTTTAACATTTATAAACCATACATTAAACAGGTAGTTACTTAAAATTAATCATGGTTAATGTAGACTTTGGCAGAATTGTGTTTCAGAACTAAATGCTTAATAATTCTATTTTACAGCTATCATACATTGAAACACTGGACTGTCTACTATGCATAAAACTTCATGGTATACAACTAATGTAAGTAAATAGCATGTAGCAACAAACCCAAAAACTGACTTGCATATCACAAAATATATACATGAAATATGGAAAGAGTAACACAAAAAACTTCTGGCGATGTTTGCATACTGTGCACATTGTTACCATATGTGGCAATCACAATAAGGACTATTTCAAGTTTCCAGGATCTTCCAAGACATTTTAACAATTTTTCATGACTTTCCACGAAATGCTGCAAACATGTAAATAGCTCCACTAAACTTGTTGCTTGGTACTTAATAATCAACTATTATAAAAACTATACCTGTCTTATTCTTCAGCAATACACTTTTTTTTTACTAATTCTAAACAGGCCATAGTTATTTAAACTCTATAATATTATTAAATTTCACTTTAGTAATCTTACTTAACCATAGCTCTGTCTTTCACCTTTAATCTTCTTGAAATATCCAGTGTCTAAATTATAGATAACTTTTCCTTTGAAATCTTAATTATTAATTAATTGAGTATGTTACTTTCTTTCTTACCTCCAATGTACCATCTTCTTTACATGCTTGAAGCTTTAAGCTGCCCAGCCCAATTGTTGCAACAACATGACCTTCCTTCCTTGCATCACAGGCACAATGTGGGAAAGACAGCTCTCCATAACCATCCAAAGATCGCACCAATTTCAAATACTGTGTAATGAAAACATCTAAATGTACAAACTTTAAAAAAGAGTGCTAAAATCACATCAAATGCTAAACTTAACATTAATATAAATTTGCGAATTTAAATTTTTTTTAAATATTCAAAGCATACTGAAATACATGCTGTAATGATGAAATGTATGTCTGTAGCAAGCATATCAAAGTGGCACTCAATAAATAGTTATACAGATTTTTTTCATCAAATCATATTTTACACACTAAATAATTTGGATAAACTTGAAGTGACACTGAGACATTTGAAAACTAAATGCAAGTCAGATTCACCAAAACAAAGATGAATGGAAGATTTACAATGTGAAACAAATGAAGCCTTCAAATAAAAACGGAACTGAGAAAGTACAAGTATTGAGGCATTTTCAACACGAGTTACAAAATGGCTATGAAACACTTTGGAATTTTTTTTATAATCATTTGTAATTACCCAAGAAAGAAAAAAAAAATTTGCACAAAGGTTAAATTTGGCATAAAATTTTGTTTATTCACAATGAGCAATACTAGACTGATTATTACACATAAATTCTACTAGTTAAAAATTATAGTTTTACTAGTAATATCTTTAACAATTTGAAATAAACGAAAAAAATTTAAATGGCTTGATCTATGTTATTAGATGAGTCAATAAAAAGTCTTCATTCTTGAGGATGATGTTAAGTACCTAATTCTTCCATTAGTGCAACAACATTTGTACAGAAATACAAAGTATCTTGCATTCTGTAGTGAGAAGAGAGACTTTGATGGTGACTTTGGTAAATTGAAACTCTTGTTCCAGGAGCAAATAAATTCCATTGCTGTAAACAAGAGCTTATACGTACCCCATGCTACTTTGATATAGACAAGTCACGAATCAGATCATTTAGCTTTTCTTGTGTGCTCAGTTGAGACAGTTTATGTTGAGGTGCTATAGGAATAGAATTATTAGATGAAGAGGATGAAGATGATTCATTGTTTTCTTAGCAGGATAACTCTTCTGTTTCCCAGTTCGTTGATGGTTGCGGAACTGGAAGACCATCCTCATGAGGTACTAGTTTCATTGAAGATGCAATATCTGGATATTTAATGTATTGTTTTGTTTTTGCTTGAATATGCAGAAACTTTAGACATGCAAAAATAACAGTCAGTTAGATGATCTTTGGATTCATGTCATAACATGTGAACTGCAAATGGCATACTTGCTCTCTTAAGCCACTGTGTCAAGCTAGATGTTCAAACTGTACAACACTTGTGGAGCTCAATGTTTCTCTTGGTCGCCAATTTTACACCCAAAATAATGGTAGTAAGTTACCTTTACCTTGTGTGTGTGTGATGTTTTCCACCATAAAACTGTAATATATAAACTGGGTGGAGTAGGTGAACATGAAAATCAAGCAAAAGTGGTGCAATTCGCTACAATACCAAGAACAAATAACATATCTAATCAATATATTTGGAATTTTTTACCAATACAATACAGTCAATGTTTAAAGTTATCAAAAATGTATGCCTCTTACCCATTAAACTGTCCAAATAAACTTAATTTCACAACATGCATCTATTGTACTGAGTTAATTGCATGGTATTTTACAAAGTGCTGATAAAATATTAAGATATTACAATAACTCCAAATTTACACATGATGGAGAAATTCTAGTGACATTTTTGAAATCAGCACTATCAAATTACCCCGAATCACTTGGGTTTTCTCCAGTAACAAATGTTTTGTTGTCCAGTGTGATTTAGTGATGGTTCATGGTAGAGAAGAGTAAATACAAGGTACAGGGATACTGAACAACTGAAGATATGCATTTAAGAAGTCCGAGAGGTTATACAAATGTAATATCCAAATTGTATGATGGACAAAAGTATTTCTATTCTTCACCTGAACATCACCTTACACACTGACTGGTGTCATCAATTCACAGACATCTCTTAAGTATAAATACTTTTGTAAAAAATCTGATTTTTTGTGTACAAGAACTGTACATTTTACTAAAAGTTCATCATATTTCATGTAGATACATGAAATAAATTTAGAGTTCTAACCAACATTCCTTTTCCAACAAAGGGTTGGTCCACTGGACCAACCTCATACATATTCAGATAACAATAACATACACTATTTGTCAATTCTCAGTAGTAATGCTTTTTAACAATGTGATGTCAAGTCTGAATAATTACATTATTTTAAATTATTGTTTCAGACATGAGGAGTAAAAATTGGAGTAGATAGCTGTGTACATTTTGAGTAGTAACACTGCTATAGTGTTGTATCAAAGACGTACAACAAAAGAAGACAGTTATGTGAATTTTGAGTAGTAACGTTGTTGTTGTTGTATCAGTCTTTAGAAGCATGACAAGAGTAGATAGCTATGTCAATTTTAAGTAGTAATACCTACCACAGACATTTGGGTAAATTCTAAGTAGTTTTATTATCAAATTGTTAATCAGTGGCTGAACAGATAAAACTACTGGTCATAAAAACCAGCTGTCACTGAAGCATGATTTAACATTTTGGGAGAAAATCACATTCTTTATCCCTCCCCAGGAGTTTAAAGCTTTTCATAGCCTAAAAGAGGATACAATATTATCAGCAAACAGAAAATATAATCATCATGAACAGAAGCAAGTATAAAAAGAGAGCTGGCCAATTCATTTAATATACTCTTCAAGTCAGTTTTAATAAAATAAACAGAAAAAGAGCTATACAATTTGCTTTTGGAGCTTATAAAAGCAAAAGAGACTACTTAGCATGAATTTCAACACACAACAGAATCACTTTACAGACTACATAAAATTCTTAAACTCAACTGCTACTACAGCCAATTCTTTGTTGTATTGGCTTACCCTACATATAACACTGCATAGTTCTAATCAAAAACCTAGAAATTTTTGACCTAAGACTTCAACAAAAATTATTATTAAAAACATTGAGGTTAATAAAGAACATATTTTTGTGAGAGCTTATTTTATAGTTCTTCAACACAGTCACTTTATCATCTTATACAAACTTCTAAAGGGTTGGTTTACATTCAAGTTTTTTTTATTGGAACTCCAAATTCTTCAAAACAATGGGTGATTTCAGCACTTTCTGTTGTTCTTGCAGAACTCTGACATATTGATTCAGCAACTTGTGCATCAGCATTATATCTCGCTTGACACTGGATCATGCATATTCATAATGTTTTTGTTTTATGGTAATAATAGCAGAGGCCCACAAAACATTTGTGATCAAATTAGTATACTTATTGCAACATTACTGTTCTAAATACAGGTTCATAGGCCTAAACAGTACAATCTAAAGTACTCACCACGGTAGTGAAGATAAGCAACTTTTTATCACTCCTAGATATATTGATTAAAAAACAACAAAAAAAACACCATGACCATGAGCTAAAACTAGCATACATTGGTTACAACATTGGTAACATTGACCAAAACAATAGATATTTAAAAACATTTCTTTATTCATGCAGCAAAAAATGGTACCATGAACTTGATTTATTCATAGTGGAAAAATTACTCAAGTTGTGTTTAGTAATTAAATATATTATTGAAATTTTTTGACAATTTTCATGTAACCATTGCTAAACACCAGAGAACATTTTCATACTGACACTGTTACTGGCTGATAACCTGAAAACTTCTGCAGTAGATCTGTCTCCTATGATATCAACATCTGAACTAAGATTGGTACAATTTGCCAAAACAAAGTTAATGTTAATTGATCAAAGTGGTGGCTTCATTCAGAGTGCCACTTGAAGGTCAAGTATAAATATCCTAGCTGCTTCAGTATCTACTAGAAACTCAACATCCAGTTCAAGTATCATCACATGCATATGCCAAACAGCTTGTTGTGTAAGCCTGCCACCAAACCTCAGGGTGCAGACTGGCTAATGTAATTATTCAAAGTTGTTAGCAAGATCCAACTCAAACTCCACTAGTTGAAAATAACCAAAATAACTGCAACCATTTTTTAATGTTGACATCTTTGGGTCTGATAAGACAAGAGACAAAATTAATTTACCTTTCTTGCTCTTATCTGGCAGCATGATAAAGACAATCCTGCATCCAGTAAGCTAAAGCTAAAACAATGGGTTCATCCCACATACTCTGTTCATCTTCTACAGGGCTTCTCATGTTGCATATATACATGTTCTCATATATATACACACACACATACGGTTGCCTGCTATGGCATTTGGATGTGAGAAGTCCTACTCTTCGATAAGGTGGCTGAATCATGGCACCTCATGGCAGTGGAGCCGTTTGTTGATATTTCTGTCATGGCAGTTGCTTAACTCTAATATATAGTTCTATGTGACTTCTTTGAACTATGATGCCACGAAACTGTCTCAATCAGAGATGAAATGTCCCTGAGTTCCATATGGTAAAGTATGAGTTTGATTATTAGCTCCACTATGAACAAGTAATGAAGACTTCATGCTTCATAGGTAACAAACATTTCTAAGCAATATTCTCAAGTAATTCGGTATCAGTAGTCAATTTCTTATTAGACCCACATCTGTGAGTCTTGAACATGGTCTTATGGACTGCTTGGTTCTCCACTGAACTGAATATGTGGCACAAGCCAACAACAAAACTGTGTCTCAGTCATGGAGAAGCTCCTCATCAAAATGCTCTTGGCATCAAGTGTAGGACTGTCCAAATTCAACATCAGATGTTGACCTGCTTGCTACTTAGACCAGCTATTTCAGGCAACTGCTTGTCTGAATTGCCTTAAGAAGCAGCTTGAATCCTCTCAAGCTCAAAGAGTCATCTGTTTTACATCCATACCATTGAACTAAGGTATAGAATACACAGGCCTAAAGTTGATTTTTCAGCCAGCCAGCAATTAATATGCTATTGTTGTTAAAGCTACTTGCTTGGTCATGAGTTTTCAAATGACCTCTGGCATTAGCAATCTGTGCTCCAGAAGGCTCAAGACTGCATTAGAGGTCCACAGACTCTTCCAGATATGCATGCTATCTAAT